CTGTTTCTCTGAACCATGGTGTTGATCTTCTCCAGCAGCTCTCTGACCTGAGCATGATCTCTGCTTCTGTTGTTAAAAACATGATATCTTCCACCACACTGACGGATGAAGTCATTGAGAGCTGGAATCTGTGTGATATAGTCCTCTATGGTGACTCCATCAGCCTCCAGATGGTCTCCACAGGTGAACAGGACCATGGTGTAACCTGCTACTTCTTCTCCAAACATCTGATGAATGATTCTCAGTGTTTCTTCTTCTTCTTTAGTGAATCTGCTAACCTGGATCACAACCAGGATCACATGAGGACCAGGAGCAGCCAAGGAGACACATTTAGCGATCTCTATCTTATTCTCCTCTTGACTTCTACAGTAGTCAAACAGACCTGGAGTATCAATCACAGCCAGGGTCTGACCATCAAACAGGGTCTGACCATCAAACAGACCTGTTTCTTTCTGACACACTGATGTTACTGAGGAAGGAGATCGTGCAGATCTAAAGACTCTCCTCCCTAAGATGGTGTTTCCTGATGCACTCCTCCCAACTCCTGTTTTCCCCACCAGCAGCATCCTGAGTTCTGCTCCACCTGTAGGAGAAGATCAGAGCGTCATGAGTGGAAGTGTTTCCTGTAGTTTGTCTGCAGCTCACAGCCTGAGAACAAACTGACACTGGTCATGTGACCTCAGCAGGAGATGATGTCAGAGCTGCTCACAGCTCAGTAAAAACAGGTCAGCTAACACAGGAAGTAAACCTCTGCAGGAGGAGCTGATGGAGCAGCAACATCAGTGACCCGTGAACGACCCCCACCCAGCCCACTAGACATCTTTGGAAAACAGACCCCCGACACCCCCACCCCCATCAGGTGCAGTGTCAGTTTTGGCCGGCGGTCATCGGTTCTGTCCAATAATATGACGCGAGACTGGAGTAAAAGACGTCCATGGCACTTTATTAAAGACGGAGCATGACAACAGCACGAACACTAACTACAACTAAACACAATGGCTTCCTTTTTACTCCACCTTTCCAGGTGAGCATCCGGACTAGCCCAAGTGTGGGGTTAACTAACCAACGTGAAAACAACCCTCCACACAAACAAACATACAATAACATTAAAGCACATCACACACATACATGTTTCCAACACGTACTATAAACAAACCAATAACATAAGCTTCCCCCATTATTATATAAATTAAAACCCTCTTTATTAACCACACTCCCTAACCTGGCACACTGGTCTGCTCCACGAGCTCTTAAACGGGTGATTGAGCCGCTTTCACTCTTTTGCTCCACATCCTGCAAGAAGCAACCAGGACAGGCGAGTACCTTTACAAGTTCTCATTTCACATAGATGTAGGTTATTGACAAATGATTAAGTGCAAGCAGCTCTAACTGTGGCTCTGACACAGGAGGGCCAGCCCCCTGTCTCTCCACCTTCACAAGCTGTCGATTTAATCGTATGTCAAATAAACCCAATAAAAGGCTCCATAAGCACTAATGTGTTTCCTTTATTACCCTACTTTAAATTCCCAATCCAAGAATTAATCACTAACAATACCAACCATGTACTGGAACCCTGCTCTCCACTACCTGCAGTATGAAACACCAACAGTGTACTTTAACTATGATACTTTAACAGTGGTCTGCAGTAAACTAAATAACCAGTCTGACACATTTCCCTGAACAGCAGTGTTTCTTTATCGCGTCGGTTTGTTCATCCTGACATGTTGCAGAGATTAAATGAGTAGTTGAACTTAAAATCAGTGTAGATCCAGCTGTGAGCAGCTGTTCGCCCACAGCAGCATCAGGTCAGCTCTTACCTGTGGGGAGGTGTCCCGCCTTCAGCAGCAGCTCTCTCACTTGTTCCTGTCCTCCATCTTTGTTGTTGAACAGGTGATACGCCTCATCAAACTGTCCCACGATCTCTGAGAACGAGCCGTCTCCACCTTCACGCACAAAGTCCTCCAGAGACCGATCCTTCAGCAGATCTCCTCCCGTCAACAGCAGGAAACTCTTTTCCAGCCCTCGAGGCCCGACCGCGTTCACAGCCGCCCTCAGAGCTTCCTCCTGGTCCACGGTGAACCGACCGACGCTCAGCACCAGCAGGAACAGGTGAGGTCCGGAGGACCTGAGGACGTCCCCACAGAGCTTTCTCAGCTGCCGCTCCCACCCTAAAACTCCCGGCGTGTCCACCACTCGGATCAGTTTCCCAAACACTCGTCCCGTTTCCTCGCTGATTCCCGTCGTCACCGCTTTGAAGGAAGTCTTTGACTCGAACGCTGCTCGTCCTAAAATAGTGTTCGCTGAAGCACTTTTACCCACTCCGGTTCTACCGAGGAGGACGATGGTGAGATCTGGATCCATGACCTGAGAACACACACACACGTTTCTGCTGTCATTTGAGTTTCTCTCTGTGTGTCTGTGGAAAGTCTCCTGTGACAAATAAAGTGAACTGAAACCAGCTCTATCTGTGCATGAAGCCAGATAACACACACCAATGAGTTACACTGCAGGAATGTCTTAAAGACATAAAGACCTGGATGGCCGCTAACTTTCTGCTTCTTAATTCAGATCAAACTGAGGTTATTGTACTCGGCCCTGAAAA